AAAAAAAAAAAAAAAAAAGCCCAGATTCCCTGAATGAGCAAAATAGCTTAGGAAAAGGAGTAGACTTGCATTACTATGGAATTATTATGCTATGGATTTCTACTATTGAGACCACATTCTCAGGACCTCTTTCTCAATAAATCACTGTTCTTACAACTGTCCAATACAGCCAGGCACGGTGGCACACATCTGTAATCCTAGTGACAAGTGAGACTAAGGCAGGAGGATTGTAAGTTTGAAGCCAGCCTCAGCACCTTAGCAAGACCCTGTCTCAAAAATAAAAAGGGCTGGGGAAGTAGCTCAGTGGTAGAGAGGTCCTGGGTTCAATCCCCAGTATTGAAACACACACACACACACACACACACACACACACACACACAGATAATAAGCAACAACAAAAATACAACTGTCAAATACAGAAATTTTAGAATCTTTTTTGACCAAATAACCTTTCTGAGTTTTTCTATCACTAGTAAAATCATTAGCCTTATAAATATGTAATGTTTCACAATACACAAGTATTAATATTGAAAAATATTGCCAAGCTTTTATTTTTTATTTTTTATTGAGCAACCCCCTTTTTTATTATCTTTGGGTTTCCAGATGTCTTTTTTCCTTCTCTCAAACACACAAAAGTAAATATCATGAACCCTACAGTACCCTTGTATGTAAGCATCTTTTTGACAAGGAATTAAAACCACAAAGTATTGAAGGGTCTTGTTTGCATGCAGCTACTTGTCATTTTGATTGGTATCTGATTGGATGACAGACAATCCTTTCTGATTATGTGATATTAGCAAAACAGCAGCTTAGCCGCCTTCTAGATTGGAAACACTGGGAAGAGCATCTTTGTGGTCTGAGTTATTTATACACATGAAGAAATTCAATGTCTCAAGACACATTAGAGAGAACACCACCTCCTTGGTGTGCTGTTAAATAGATTCCCTAATGCACTCAGAAAAGTTTCTTCCTTTGGGGGGAATATTTGCAAATAATGTTGGTCTCATAATTTTAAGTAAGGAACCAAAATGGAAAGAGCATTTTGATGTCTAAGTTGCACACAAATATAAATTTGGAATTCTCAGATTTGATTAACAAATTAGTTTTCCTCTGTAAAGGCTGTATATGATCTCAAGACAAAATAGTGAACTAGTATAAATTACCTTAATTTAATGAAGAATACAAGTCAAATATTAAGATTGTGTGAGTGGTTTCTTTTTGAAGTCAATCAAAAAGAAACAAGTGTCTTTCAACATTGCAAGCCGAATCTAGACACTTCTCTCCAAATTCCAACGTACTCTTGCTCTTTTCCCATTGATATAAAATCTCCTCAGTAAGCATCCCATTTAATATTTATTTCGACTATATTTTTCTAACATTTCTATCCATAGAGATAAAATCTCTCCTTTGTAAGCAGCTATAAAATTGCAAACTCATCTCTGTCAGAATTCATAAAAGTGAAAGCCACAGGGAAAAAATATGGCTTAATTTCATAATTACAATAGCTAGCTGCCCTTTTCTCTGTGTATATATAATTTTAGAATGAACTTTTGACTAATAACCCCAAATTGAGAAAACAGTTGGATGATCATCAGTTGTAGGACCATGCAGATGCCTTGGCACCCATACCTAATTATGATGTTTTGTGTTTTAGGATGTGAACTGAAATGGAAGAATTTAGATCACAAAACTCCAAGGGCTGTGGCCAAAGAAGGAGGCTTCAAAGCAGCAAGCAAAGAAATACGACGAGCTGAGCGAATTGCTAAAAAACTGGAAAAACCTGGAGTCAAAAACCCCAATCCAATGTGGGCCCTCAGATTACATGATTGGTCCATAGAACACGAGGCCCTCCTTCGGGAAGGCTTTTCCTTTTTAGACAGAGGAAACGGGACAGTGTCCAAGGAAGACTTTGTGCTGACCCTGGAGGATAAGCAAGAGTATGCAACCTCTGAACAGCTGGCCATCATAGCTCAACTTCATGAAAAGACCCGGGATGGTGGAGTCAACATAAATGATTTCTTTAAAGGAACCAGATACTTAAGCAAGTCTTTTGTCTTGGGATCTTATGGGCCTAAGAAAAAGAAAAGAGGAATGGGCAAAAAGGGTCGGAAAGGCAAATTTGTTTTACCCCTCCCAATCTGCGTCATTCCTGAGAGTGTATTTCCATTCAGGCCAGATGGTGGGCCTCCATATTACATGATTGAAACCTACCAGAATGTAACTGATTGCAGCCGGTTTAATCAAGATCACCCTCCCGAACATCCCATTCAGGATGATTCTTCTTGGTACATTGATGATCCAGGGAAAGTATTTTCAAATATTAATTTTGTCACCAAGGCCGGGGACCTGGCATCTCTGAAAAAGGCTTTTGAAGCAGGAATACCTGTGGATATGAAGGATAATTATTACAAAACACCACTAATGACAGCGTGTGCCAGTGGAAACATAGATGTTGTCAAGTTTCTTCTTGAAAAAGGGTATGTGTTGTTGAGTGAGATTTAAGTTTTTATGAGTGTTCACATTTCAAAGAAGTAAAAGAAGGTCATAAGAAACATTCAGCTCAGAATTTTAATATTATGGGAATATGTTTCAATAACTAAATAGGTCCCATATGAGGATTCAGGCTAATGACAATGTAGAATTCTGTGTGTAAAAGACAGTTTGCCAGTGAAAGTTGTACTAAAAGTAAAAGCCAACTAAATGTTCACTCTGGGATTAGAAGAGACTTCTAATTATCACTGTTTTCCTGTGACAGGATGACTCATTTTGGTCTCAGTGTCTCACCTGGACGGTGTGGAGTTAAAGCCTCTTGCTTTGTGGGAATCCCAACAAACTGGGGGATGATGGACAGAATAACTAAGAACATATTTCCATCCCTCTATAACCCACCATCCTCCTTTGTAGGGGGCAGTCTTTCCCTTGATTCACTTATAAATATCTTTAAAATATCAAAACATGATGTTTTAATTTAACTTTTGATACTAAAACAGTTGATTTGGTTGAATTCCTGCGTCTACCACAGTTGAATAACCTGCCTTAAGTTTCTTAATATTTCTGTGCCTCAGTTTTCTCATTTATGTAATGAGGCTCTAATGAGACTCAGAATTTGTAAACGATTAAAGGCGTTAACTTACATAGAGCACTTAATGATGCAGTAACTGCACACTTGAAAAATGAATCGATGTTGTTACTATTGAAACATTTAATGCCAAAGACTCAAGTTTGTATTCTCAAAAGAAATGTGAAATCATTAAGGAGAACTTGAACTTTTGGATAGTGAAATCCTAACAAGCTCCAAAATTTTAAATAATATATTGTAATGCTTTAAATTACATTTTATCTTTTACATCAGTTTTTATCTTCACTGGATCCAGTTTTGTAATTTTCCTGGATTTTAACCTTTGTAAACATTGTAAGTACCTTTCAAGCTAAACAAAATGTGTATGTCCACAGTGTTAAGACTGTCAAAGTAATGCAGAACAAAGAGATTACCAAAAAATTATGGCACAAGGTTGGCAAATTAACAACTGATAAAACTGTCCAAAATTGTACTTGCCTTTTTAGGTCCCAGTACTTAGAGCAACCACAATTTTTAATTTGTGCATCCATCTTTTTTTTTTAAGAGAGATAGGAGAGAGAGAGAGAGAGAGAGAGAGAGAGAGAGAGAGAGAGAGAGAGAGAGAGAGAGAAGGAATTTTTAATATTTATTTTTCAGTTTTCAGCTGACACAGCATCTTTATTTTATGTGGTGCTGAAGATCAAACCCAGCGCCCCGCGCATGCCAGGCGTGCGCGTTACCGCTTGAGCCACATGCCCAGCCCACATGTATCTTATTTTACAGGGCAAACGTTAATGCAACAGATAATTTTCTGTGGACTCCACTTCATTTTGCATGCCATGCAGGGCAGCAAGACATTGCTGAGCTGCTTGTTAAGTCTGGAGCTACCCTAGATGCACTTTCAATCAACAACTCAACTCCCTTAAGTCGAGCCATTGAAAGCTGCAGACTGGATACTGTAAAATACCTACTTGATATTGGTGCTAAATTCCAGCTGGAAAATAGAAAAGGTATGTGTTTGTATTATTGATGGTTGGGGGTTAGTGAAGGAGAATTTATGTTAGATTCCACACTCTTCCAATTCTGTTCTGATAGAACCATGTTTTCCCCTGGGTTACTGGTGCAAACATGAGCCTTAGTTAAATGTTATGAAAGTTCTTCTTAAGTACTTCTCAAAGCATTGATATTTAAGGGCCAGTTCTTTATGTTTGCAATCTGTTAGGGACTTTTATAAAATACAATAAAAATGATTTAGTAGAAATGGAAGCCCAAGCTTTTCAATCATTAGATTTAAAGAACAAAAAAAAATTTTTTTTTGAAAAAGACTATCTATTAAATAGTTCTATAATTTCTTAACGCTTAATTTTTGTGGTTATTACATTGTGGATCAGGAACCACTGATTTGTGGACCCGAACTAGTTTGCAGGTCACAATCTGAGTTATCAATGCTATGTTCAATTCCCAATGATTGGCATGCTAGAGACTCTAGAGACTTTAGATTCCTCTAATAGCTGTACAAAGTCATTCCTAAATTGAGGCTTCCTTGTCTCTAGGATGTAAACAGATGGCCTACCCTATGTCATAAACACCACATAGGAACAATTGAAACATCATTTGAATAAATACTTAAGCTCCTTATGTGGTAGTGTTATTTTCTTATATTGGAACCCATTGCTTTTTTTTTGCTCTGAGACTTTGCTCATATCTCTGGCTTCTTTGGGCTGTCCCTGAGTCAGATAGAATTGCACCAGGAGTACCTGATGATATGACAGGTAACATAATACCCAGTCACCTGCCTGAGCACTTGTGAGCAAGTGCCAGCTTCCCCAGACCTTTTGGAATTTACCTTCTTACAACATGGAAAAAGGAAGATAAGTTAAATGTATTACACAAAAGGAAATGTTTGCAGTGTGGGGAGAAAACCATCAGTTGGATATTCAAAATATAATCTAATATTTCCAGTCCACTTTTAAAGAAATTTAGTTGAAAGAAAAAAATTAATTTTTTTCTGTAAATGGTGCTTTAAAACCATGGAGTTTTATTGCAGGTCCACCTTTGAAGGATATCCAATCTGATTTATGAATTTACATGGTTAGCTTTAGTAATCACCCTGACTGTGCATGCTTAAAGCTGTGATGCTGAGGTTTTTTTGTTTCCACCCTCCCCCCACATGGTTTATCATTAAATCCACTTATTAAAACTCTAAATTTATGTTTGTTTTAAACAGGGCATAGTGCCATGGATGTTGCAAAGGCATATGCCGATTATAGAATAATTGATTTGATTAAAGAAAAGATAGATAACTTGCCTAAAACAGCAGAAAATCAAAAAATGAAAAGCAAGACACCTCCTAAATTGAAAACTGAAGGCCCTGAGATTAAGAAAGAGGAGGTAAGAAAAGAGCTCAATTACCCATTAGTAACTGGAACTCATTAAAAACTTTTTGGGGGTTTGGGTGGGCAGCAGCATTATTTATGTGCTATTATACAACTGGGCAAAGTCATACACAGTGCAAACTTTCAGCACTGTTATACAGTACTTTTAAAGAAATATCCAGCAAGAAGTTTCCAGTTACTGAAGACACTAAAAAGTGTTCATTGAAAACAGAATCTGCAGAAAACCAAATATACTTAGGATGTTGTAAAACAACGGTCTAGGAGATATGTATACATTTGGTTTTGCATTGTACAGATTTGATGTCATGACCCAAGCAGGGAAGGGGGAGGGTTTTGAAACCTTATGAAAAATAATGTAAAGCATGGTTTTCCTTCCTTTTGATCTCATACTTTTTCATTGCCTACCTTCTTCCCTGTCCCCACCCAGGAACTTTAATGAATTCCACTGAACTCTGGGATATGGAGCCCACTTGTAACTTGGATATTCAGCAAAGTGACTCTAGCAGGTTTAGAATGTGCCAGATTGACTGTACCTGGTAATCTGGAGTGGTTTAGGAAACCCTAAACTGCCAGCACAAGGTTGAGGTTGCTGCCTATGGGTTACCGAGGCATCAAAAGTTTGCCATTATCAGGGAATGTGCACATTCTTGGTTGGAAGCATCTTTTTTAAGAATTCTTGCAATTCTTCAAAGAAGATTCTTAATTCTTAATTCTAAAATCTTAAAAGAAAAATTCTTGAAAGATAGAGGACTAGGGAAGAAGGAAGGAAACACGCTCACTCATGCCATCAAATTGAATAGGGTTGGGGAAATGACGATTGTAGGAAGTGGAAAGAGATTGTAGGCAAACATTAGGAAGTACCACTGTGGAGAATGGGAAAATATTAAGAGGTGAAGAAATTCCAATCAGTTGGGGCATCTGCTATCCAGGCATTTTCATTTTAGAAGGACTTCATCCTTCTTCTTAATGAATAGTGGCCACAGGTTAAAGGTAGATATTTTGAAGACTTTTCTGATCTGTCCCTGATACTATAAAATGAGTAGAGTTACACAAAGCAAACTAATATAAAGATATTCTATTTTATCTCAAATTGTATCTTATTTAGTAGTATTTTAAAGGGTTTTTTTTTCCTGGTTTCAGAGTAATATATAGAAAAACAAAGAATAATATTAGAAAGTAAATACCAGATTTGAAATTTATAGTTTTAAAATCTTGTTTCCAGGAACCACTTTCATCCATTTATGGTATGCCCGTCATATCGGAGGAAAAGAAAATACAAAGGGATAATGTGGTTTATCTCAATTCATTGATTACCAGGGGCTATACCAAGAAAGTGGATATCACATATGTTCCACAAAGGGTAAGTACTTTGGAATTGTGGCGCTCATGGCGCTCAAATGTTTTCTATGCAGACCATCTAAACAAATGTCCAAAATTTATCTTTCATGGTTACTATTTGAATGTGTTCTTTTGCCAGGTCCTCCTGCTTTCAATTCAAGATATCCATCCGTTGGATTCTAATATCTGTTTCCCCTTGTTAGCATTTCTATATTAACATTTAAATTTTTCCTTAAAAGATTAAAGTCTTCTTTGGGCAATGATATTCCCTACAGTCATTTAGTGACAAAGTTCTATTGATACTTCACCTTGGTACTTCTCAGACCCAGCCTTTCTTTATATTCACTACCAGCATCTCACCTGAGAGTTTCTTACTAATTAAGACTAGATATATTCAATAGTCTCTTAAAACATCTACAGTTGTGGATAAATCTATACGTGGAATTTTGGAGGAGACGTTGTCTTCCCAACGCACATCAAACCCTACTGAATAAGCAATGCCTCCTGTATGAAAATAGTTTTGACTTCCACGTCAGACATAAAGGTAGTAAACCCAGATGATCTTCCAGTTCCTTTTGCTTTCCTGTTTTG